AAGGAAGGAAGGAAGAAAGGAAGGAAAGAAGAAAGAGCTATGAAAAAATATAAATAAATAAGGACGCCTGGAGTCAGTGTGGATATTTCGAATGAATTTAATGTCTGGATGCCCATTTATAACTGTTCACTGTTGAGTTCAAGGTTTCTGATTTCCATTGTCAGAGAGCTCAAAGAGATCAAATTGATTGGATTACTTAAATTTAAACAATGGCACGTCAGTTGAATTGAAAATCGTAAAAAACAATTTTTGATAAGTAGATATTTAGAAAAAAAATATGTCTAAATGATTATTTGATTATTATTTAAACGATATTCATATAAAGAAGCCCTTTTTAGAGCGATTTATTCGGTGTTTTTAAGCACAGAAGACACAGAAGAATGATTATCATGTGAGAAACTGATACGACACAAGCGACACACCTATTTTTATCCTAGCCAAAGATAAACAACGTTGTTCAACGTTGAACTTGAATCTAAAATATCTGTTACTATTTTCGAGCGATTTATCCTTTTTAAATCATACAACCTTCACATATTGTATCCATACATAGATACAATTCGTAAATAAATAGTTTTATCCTTGTTAGCGTTTAAATTTAGCTAAAAAATGCAAAAATTGATTTAGTCGACAGCACAAACTTCGCTTCACACTCCTTCCACACGTATATCCGGATTTTTTCAATACGAACGTTTTTCAAAAAAATCGACTGCACACGTAGCGTTTTTAAATCTTTTTCGTCTCTCTATTCGTATCCGTTTTCAAAGCCTATCTAAGCACCGTTTAAATATAAAAATTGGAATGCATTAGTAAGACTTTACTTCATTTTGGTAAACATCTCTGCGCCTTGTTACGAACCTAATCCGCGACGTCAGACAAGTGTAAAAAACAAAGATGTAAACTATAACTGCCTTGGGATTAAAACGTTACACTGAGTTGTGAATGCGACCATCGCATTGTATATCTTACCTTACGGAAACTTTAACGAGTTGTGCGAAAGGACTTGGACAGGCGAGCAGACTAAATGAATAAGGCGTTACATAGAGAGCTCGAATTTATCTATACTTAAGACGCCCGCAAAGGTAGCTGGACTAACTGTTCGTTTTGTTGGAAACAGATCGATAATGTTTGTCATTCCTGCGTGATAGCTCGTAGCAGCACTCGAATGGATTGTCGGAATATAGGTACGTTGGAATTCATGGAATGTTGGATTCACAATGAAATAACGGGGGAAACGCGTACAATATGCTAGTAAATTCGTTGTTTTTGCTTAAATTTTATTATGATACTATATTATTCTCATCCATTATTCATTATTTCGTTATCTCAAGAGTTTGATATCAAAATATCGCGTGCTGTCACACTGTTGGAGAGAAAAATCTCTGAACCTTGCAATTGCTCGCCAAGAAATCATGTTAGTGACATCTTTCTTTTCCGATGAGCCACGGAACGACTCAATGCAGGCTAAGTTAGGAATCCCCTTGGACTATTTGAAGGTATTTTAATGTTAACATAAAATTCAATGAGTTTCGAGAAATATGCTGTCGAATAAAGAACATTTCCAATTATTACTGGGTTACCTGTGCTATCAAAATAGAAAGAAGCTCGTTTTCTATCTTTCTTTTTTTCAATCCTTCTTTACTTCATTCCATTCATCTTCCTTCTTTATTTCGTTTTAAAAATTGTATTCGCAATAGTGTACATTATGGCGTCGTTTACTACTCGTATAATACCAGAATCCTTTTTAAACATTTTCTTTTGTTCAGTTAATTAGCACCAATTGTCTCACTATTAATTCTCATGAGGAAATATAAATTTTAATTATTATATGTAATAAGACTCCATGTTGTCCAATTAAGAAATAATTGGATGAGGAAAATTCCGAGGACTGACAAAATTGGATGAGGCCGTAGGCCGAGTCCAATTTGGCAGTCAGAGGAATTTTTCGAGTCTAATTATTTCTTGATTGAGGAGCATGAAACCCCATTACCTATTAATTATATATAGCTGCCTAATTAATCCCATATCAACAAGACCTGTCCAATTAAGAAAATAATTGGACAGTTACCTATATGGGATTAATGAGAAACTGTACAATTAGAAAGAAAATTCTCCAAGCATTTTGCTAGTGGTAGTAAAATGACGACTTCATGCAATAACGGCCTATCATGTATCCGCAATTTTTTTTTTGCGGATACGGGTTGCGTCCACACGTGTCCGGAAGTTTTTGTATCCGTATCCGGAAATTTTCGAAAACGGTCTCCAGAGTGGAAATTTTCGAATACGCTCCGAATACGGATACGTGTGGACGGTCGTATCCGCAAATTTTCGAATACGATGACGTAAACACGATTTTGCGCATGCTCAATAAGAAAAACTATCCTTCAAAGAGACTAGGCACTAGCGTGCATCAGGGCGGATCATGAAATTTCCGGATACGTGTGGACAGTGAAAACGATTCGAAAACGATTCGAATACGCTGCGTGTGGACGCGAACATTTTCGTATCCGCAAAAAAAATTTAAAAAAATAATAAAAAAATTGCGGATAAAAAAATTTTCGGATACGTGTGGACGGGGCCATAGCCATCTTAATGGTGTGAAATTGTTTTACTCGTTGATCGAGAGTTTGTTTGCCTCGCTGGGCAATGTTACTCAAAGACCACCAAACTTGATCTGGCAAACACGTAATCGACAAGGTAGTCTCTGTACGTATCTGGAATACTTTCTTCTTGGAACGCCTTACAGAGCATTTCACATTACTTTACCGCGGCGTGTTGGGAAGTTCGCTCGGAAGTCATCCCAAGTTGGCAACGAACTTCGGAACTTGAAAATGAAATTAATTCCAGCCTGCTCTTTGAAATTCATAACATCTTGAATTCAGAAACTCGTAGGAAATGCTTTTCAAACTTAATTTCCAGGTTGGATTTTATCACAATACAAGGCATTTATCTTATTGACCTGTTTTGATATGAGGTTTGGAACATTTGAGGTTTTTTTAATTTCAGCAAAATTTTGAAATGTAGATGTAAACAGTTCACGGTTCACTGAACTTTGTTCACTTTAAGTTCCGAAGTTCGTTGCCAACTTGGGAACTTCTTCCCTGCTAGCAGAGTCTCTCTTCTCTTTCTCTACCTTCTTTCAGGCGGGGAGGAGAAGGAGACTCTGCCGATGTAGAGCGTTTCCTTTGATACACCGCCGTCCACCATCGTGGACGAACAAAACCAGTTTTAAAACCGGTTTTTAACCGACTACATGCAGTGCGCATGAGCAAATGTAACACACCGTGGCGCCAGAGTCTATTTTTCTCTCTCAACCAAAACAAAAGGAAAATAGGCTCTGCTAGCAGGGAAGGGAACTTCCGAACGAACTTCCCAATCCGCCGCGGTAAAGTAATGTGCAATGCAATGTAAGGTTCATAGCATCTTCTTTGATTAAAACACGATCTACTATTTTGGGTGTCCATTGCGGTATTGCGCACGTATTATGCAGCAAACAACGAAGCTGAAAGACTCATAAAGCATATTATCTACCCTGAGATAACTCAGAAAATCGACCATCACCTTGATGAATACTTCCACTAATAAATACATTCGGTTTTAAAATTTAAAGGCTGTTTCAAATGGCACTTACCACAGATAAAATCTGGTAAAGTCGGGAGATATTACTTGGTGTCTTCTCAAGGAGAGGACGGTGACGAGGAGAACGCGTCTTTGCAAAATCACATTTGATTACTCCGCATTATAATCGTGCGCAGTCTTTTCTCGGACGGATGGAACACAGGAACTCCGTTGTTACATGTTGCGAATAGGATTCACCATTTTCCATACATCGGTTCACTAGTCAAACACAAAGCATTCAGTCGAGGTTGCAAGGTTCAAATTTGAATAATCCTTTGAAARTACCTTGGCGCCTCCCTTGAGCGCTTTGTGTTTGATCAGTGAACCAATATATGGAAAATGGTGAATGCTGCTTCACTCGCTTCGCAGCAAATATTTATATTTATTGTAGTGGTAGTATGTGTGAATGACAGTGAAACAGATTGGATTGTATTGATACTGGATTTGTTCACCAATCATTAAAAAACAATAACAGACGACGAGCGAGAAGACACGAGATTCTAAATTTATAGAATTTAATAAAAAATAAAAAAAGGGTCGTAAAATACAAGGTAATCAATAATCAAAATATTTCACAAAACTTGATAAAGTTATAATTAGTATTAATAATAATAACAATAAGTTTATAAAATTACCATTCCTAAAAAATAGCGGGACATTGTCTAGCAATCAAAAAAATAAGATAAAAAAAGTAAAAACAGAAGATTTAAAATATTAATTTTTTGGGGAAAGAAAAAAATTTAACAATCTAGAATAATTCAGCAGCTCGAAAAATTACAATCATTGAATTTCATGATTAATTAAGTCTAATAGTCTACTAATGACATCTTCAGCTTTATAGACAAATAGGTCCATTGAGATCCTAGTAGGTCCTAGTAGGTCCTATTGGGTCCTTGTTAGTGCACCAGCTCCCAGCCCATAGCCATATCCTTTGGGACCAAAGCGAACGCAGTGGCAAGATTTGCAATATACCTCTCCTGGAAAGAAATATCAGAAAACTTGATCAATTTTTTCTTTTTCTTTTTTGACAGCCCTCTTATCGATGTGGTCCGGGTTCGAGCCCTGGCTCAGACTGGATCATATGTGAGTTGAGTTTGTTTGATGTGTTGTTCTCTCTCTTGCCACGAGGGTTTTTCTCCAGGTTCTCTGGTTTTCCTCCCTCCATAAAAATCAACATGTGAGTTGAGTTTGTTTGATGTGTTGTTCTCTCCCTTGCCACGAGTGAGTTCAAGTGAGGTGTGTTAGATTGGGTGCTTTCAATAGTGAATGTAGTGGTATTACGTGCAGAGCCGGGGAACCTCACGGAAGAGCCCCTTACGGAGAGTGATGGTTGTAAAATATACATATAAATTTAAATAGTTTAAGTGTGATAAATTGTTTTTTCCTCACAGTGACAATTTTGCCTTACACCACCCCTATCAAATATTCCCCTCCCCTCCCCCCCAAAAAATCTTACCTTCATGAGAGTTAGCATTCGTACTGTCAAGCTTCTTTTTGCAATCCTTACACGAGAAACACCTTTTATGGAACTTATATCCTTCCATGGAAATAGACTCAGCATGGTACGCTCTTTCGCCGCATCTCGGGCAGCGGTCACCACCCTGAAGTTTAGGTTTTGACTCAGAGTAAGCATCGGGGATGTGGGATCCGCCACCGGAAGGAGCGGGTTCAGGCTCCTGATCTTCTTGCTCGTATTGCTGCTCGTCGTCGGACATTTTTGACTGTTAAGAAAAATATATATACATTCTTGAGCGTATTTTACGTCATAGCCGCCATGTTGGTTGGCTATACGAGGGGAGGCCAATGGTAACTTGACAATTGGCCAAAAAAGTTGTAGTTAACTGATCATGATATTTATTGCCAACTTTGACTGACATTTGGCCAAAAAATTATAGTTAACTGACAATTTGTTATAACCCCATTGGCACCCTCATACAAAGCATTCCTCACAATACGCCTTCTCTTGCGACAACCAAGATGACGGCTGTATATTAAGATTTTTCGGTCACGTGGTTGCACTCCAAGGATAAGATTGAAAGAAGCAAACAAACAAACAAACAAAACACAAGGAACTGTAAGAAAGACGATAAAAAGGCAAATAAGGGAGGTAAGGGAGATGGCCGCCATGTTGTTTGAATATTTACGCAAAATTGTTTGTATATTTTCTCAGTTTTGTTACATCAACAAACATGGCCTCCATGTTTTATCTTTTGAAACCCACTTAACCTATCTTCCCAAAGGAAACAAAAATGTATATATTTCAAATAGAAAAGCGTACACAACAATTTGCTTTTCAAAAGTTAACAAAAGAAAGAWGGAAAAGAACAAGATGGCGACTGCATTATGCCCAAAATGCATTGCGCTCTTCAAATTCTTTAATCGCACTAAAAATAACTTTAACATGGAATAGCCATTATTTCAACAGTTCTTTTACCAAATTTGGCTTTATTCTTCATTTAATTTAATAAATTAGAATTATAATGGCTAAAAATTAGAGATTATTGTTAAAGAAAACATTTTCAGATAGTTGAATTGCGAACTGAATACAGAATTCCAAAAAAACGCGGACGAATTTTCTCGAGTGTTTTGATTTATAAAGAACCCAAATTATGTAATTGAATCGAAGCCCATTTTGTGCTAATTTTAAACCAAAATATTTTTCTTTGTGCTGGAACATTCTACTTAATAGTACTGTACATTCTTTGATGTAATTGTATCCTGACATCTGAGCGACACTATGTCTGAGGAAGCTTTCATGAAGCCGATGGAAATCTGTCGGCCATTCTACTCCTTTTCTAGTGAACTTATTCCTTGACTATCACAGTATTGAACCTTAAGACTATAGTTTTTTGCTATAGACTTAAAAACAGCAAGAAGAAGTCGTAATTTTAAAGAACAGTCTAAGTAACATTTTTCATTGATGCTTTTCGCGGGTCAAAAGGGCAGATCTTTTGCGAAGAATTCAATTGATAAGGAAAGACTTCCTACGAACAAACCTGAAAATATATGATTATTTGTTCAACGAAACCTAGAAAATTATATCGCTATACGACTTCACATCAAGTAGGAATAATATGGGGAGGAGAAAATAGAGTTAAGGAGAAGAATAGCTGTTGAATTTGGAAACAGAGATGATAGCATTTGAAAGTATTTAGCTTGACAACACCCTGATCTGCTTTCCGTAGTATAAGTACTATTCCACAAATGCTCCTCAAACTCAACAAAACTTTACACTCAAGCCACTATTATTTAACCTAAAATGTCTCTAAAAAGCTATCAAACATTCAGGGACATTTATATCAAAGATAAAGGAATGTTTTTGTTCGTGAAAAAACCATAGAATCCCAAGTTTGACAAACAACTACTTGTACTGAATGACATTCTCAAGTTTACTTTATCGTTGTCATGCAAAGATTTCCTTCATTTTGACTGAATTTTTCAATTCTAAATTTAACTAATACGACAAAAACTAAGAGTCAAACACTAGAAAAAGAAAATAAGGCGAGCTCAGCTCAAGTTGTGACATTTTATAGCAACATAATTGGGAAAAGAAGCTTAGCTTTTACTTGAACAATTCGCAGAATTAAGCAAATAGAGACAGAAATATAAGCCTAGAGTTTGAAATAATTGCATTTCCAATAACCAGCTTTTTTTATTTAATAGTTCAGATATTTCCCCCGACTTGACCTGATGATCAGTATTTAATGCTTGCTGGGAATTTGACTGACGTACATCGTTTAAATCCAGCCTTAAATCATTATTCAACCTCATTAAGTCAATAAACTTACAACTTCGCTTGCAGGAGGGTAAAAATAAACTCAAATTGTTCAACAAAGGAATTATTGTCAAGCTATTTTAGCAGCAAATAGGCTTTTGAAGTTAATATTTTCTTGTTGAAGAAGTTTCAGAAAGTTATACGACCGCGGGTACGATAGGGCGCTGTCCTGCTCGACAGAAGCCGAGCAACATCAGGAGCAGCTGTTGTGTTTGATATTCTAAAAGCTAAATTCAATAACTTTTCTGGCTTCAATAAGTGGTAAAAAGAGTAATTCATAGGAATTTTATTGAACAAACGGTCGATTTTATGGTCGAAATTACGTTATAAGAATTAAAGATTAAATTTGACAATTATCTGTCAAACAGAACAAAAAGAATTATTGTTTGGAAAGCATTGTGCTTGAGCGAGCTTGCGATAAAAGAGCTAGAAACATGTTTTAAAATGGGTTTTACCTTTGGCGAAGGACTTGAAGGAGTTGAAGAAGGTAGGAGCTTCTAGTGTTCCAAAGCAGAAGAAAGTGAAACGCTTAAAACCCACACATGAATATAAATCCACTCAAAGGTGGAGGCAGGGCTTCATCCAGGGTGGTTAACTCCATACTCCCTCAACAATAACAAAACCGAAAGCTTTAAATATGGACATTTTATTGGAGATGGACAAATAATGCATCTCCCGGAAAAGAGATACCGTAAGAAGAGACACTTGATAAATTTAATTAAGGAGTTTTTTCGTGATTGGTCAACTTTGTAAACCCGTATGGAATTACAGTCACGAAAGAGCAATTGACCGATGCAAGCTTTGCTTGTTTTGAAGACCAGACCTCACCTTTACCATATGTCTCTCAAATATAATTTTCAACAACACCCTCTTAAAAAATTGGAACATCTTTGTGTTTTGTATTAAATATCTAAAGTGCTGGAGAATTAGATTTTGGTATTCACAAGCCTTTGATTTTTTTCATGACTTTTCATAATCTTGTTTCGTATCTTTACTAGCAATTTGGGTATTGTAGCTAGTGTAACGCAATACAATCACACAGGAAGCCCATGCATAAAATTCTTAACTCATCGGGCGATTAGAAGATCAGTTGGCTCGTAATACTACCGTGTTATTTATAAACAGATCTTGACTCTAGCCTCAGTCTTTCAGTTTCAAGATGAGCAATAACGAATATTATGAATGCATGCAAATGAGATGCAAATGAGGCAAAAAGCATTGTATCGACCCGATAGCCTCACTTGTATGATTCTTAAAACGAAAGAATATAAAAACGGATGCGAGGGAGACTATCTCATAGCAGGCTCAACTGTAATAACAGCTATTGCAAGCATTTTTGCCTTGCAACTAAATGGCTAAAAATCCCTTGAGATATGAATAACAATGAAACAGCCGCCATGTTGGCCGATCTAACAAGAGAAACCAAGATGGCGGCTATGATAGCGATAGACGTCATGTAGTGTTAGCGACATTGGTCGACTGTTATGTAAGACTTTCACACTGGCACTTGTAATGTTATCAACAAACCTCGTCAAACTACTTCCGGAAAGGATATAAAAATGTCTCACAAATGGCTCATAAGATGATTCAGTAGACTATGAAATTTTAACCTCGACGCCAATTCCCCCATCAACGTCATCCCTCCTCCCCCCCCCATCCCCCAAAGAATTAATATAGACCCCTTGCATGTGACGTCAAAGCATGCAGCTCGATTTGGAGGATATAACGATAGGATCCCAATTTACAGAAGATTGAAATTCTTTTGTTTTGTCCTCCAAATTGAGCTGCTTAAATTTGACATCACATGCAAATGGTCTATCGCAATTGGAAAGCCATTGTTATGCCTACGTACTGCAAGGGGTCTTGTTGATTATAAATTCTGAAGTCCATACATGCAAAGGCGCATTGTTTTGTTTTGTTTTTTTTTGACTCAATCTCCTATTTACTGTCACAAAGGCTTTAAAAATCTTCAGTTATAAATAATGGAATCGTTTGTTCATATTAGTCGATTGGACAAGCAGGTTGCAACTTTTACTCACATCAGACATCAATCCTTTGATTTCCTTGAGCACTATTCCTTTCTTTAATAAAAGCTTGAACTAATCGTTATACACAAGATTCGCCAGAAGAAATAACTCTACTACTCAAAAAATACATAAAACTGGAAAAAGATTTCAAAGATTTCCAATATTAAAAAACACAAGGAAAAATGTCAAGCATTTCCCTTTGCAACCAAGATATTACACCTAAATAAAATTTTGAAGACATTTCATCAAAAAGAATGAACTCGGCAAAAAGTCTTATTTTAATTAATGCTAAACATGTCTTGATATATAATTCGAAGAAATCCATGTATACAGCTCGTGTTGAAGTCATATTTCAGGTTGGTAGGGTAGGGAAGATTGCCATGAATAATCCGATTTTACAACCATATTTATAATCATATCATTTTACATTTACATTTTTATTACTAATCAATCTATCCATAAATTTAATGCTATATAAAGAAAATATCAAAGATTATGCTGGTTCAAGTGACAGTTTGTTCGCCAGTTCTTGGGGGTGGGGGAGGTGGTGGGGAGGTGTTGTCGATGTTGTCCTAAGGTTGGGTAGGGTGGGTTCTATTGTGTTCTTGTCAGTGCGCCTGCTCCAAGTCCGTATCCATAGCCTTTGGTGCCGAAGTTCACACAATGACAGGTTTTGCAGTAAACCTCGCCTGTAATAAGCAACGAAAATTCGAGTTAAATTCGAAAGAATAAATTAAAAATTTTTGAATTGAAACGATTGAAAGATTTTTCCTTCCCTCAACGTTTCCATGTCCTTCAAGTAGCCTTAAGGATTTTAGTGTTTTTCTTCCTCGAACTTTCTCATTATTTCTTCTTGATCCTTCTAAATCTAGTTCTAGAACCTACAGCACCTATCCCTTCAGACCCCCTCGGGATATATATTTTGCAATCCCCACCCTAGTACTCTACTGGGACTAAGATTTGAATTTGTCACCCTCATTGACCCCCTTCGGGTTTATCAGCACTTATCCCTTCAGACCCCCTCGGGATACATATTTTTGCAATCCCCACCCTATCCTACTGGGACTAAGTTTTGAATTTGTTTACTTATGTGTGGACCCTCGGGATATTTTCCCTATCACTAAACCACCCTACTGAAACCAAGTTTGGAATTTGTCCCCTCATGGACCCCCTCGGGATATATATTTCCCCCTATCCCTACCCCAGCCTACCGGAACTAAGTTTTCAATTTGTCCCCTCATGGACCCCCTCGGGATATATATTTCCCCCTATCCCTACCCCAGCCTACTGAAACTAAGTTTTAAATTTGTCCCCTCATGGACCCCTCGGGAAATTTTTCCTATCACTACACTACCCTTCTGAAACCAAGTTTGGAATTTGTCCCCTCATGGACCCCTCGGGATATTTTTCCTTTCCCTACCCCACCCTACTGAAACACAATTAAACATACCATCATGAGAAGCAGCATTCGTGCTGTCAAGCTTCTTTTTGCATTCCCTGCACGAGAAACACCTTTTATGGAACTTATATCCTTCCATGGCGATGGACTCAGCATGGTACGCCTTGTCTCCACATCTTGGACAGACGTCTGTGTGAGGGCGTGCTACGTGATCATCTTGATCTCCCATATTGACTGTAAAAATGATTTAGAAAATATGTAGTTTTCGATATTGCTAGGAAGGGGTTTAACGGAAGCCATGTTAAAACACTTCTCATTACCACAGGTGTACTGTTTTCCCATTTCAGACCACGTGTCATTTTCTTGAGAATAAGAATCTTTGTTTAAGTTGTATCAATTTTCATGTGCAACCGTTAAACAAAGAAATGATACTCTAGGGAATGACACATGGTCTTGAGAATAAGATTCTTTGTTTGAGTTGTACCCATATTCATGTGTCTTCTCATGTGCAACCGTTAAACAAAGAAATAATAATCTAGGGAATGACATCGTAGGTCATTTCAATAAATATTTTCTCTGGTCAGCCATGTGTGTGAGGGTTCAAGAAAACATGCTTAGAATATGATATTTTTCCATTTTAGACCACGTGTCATTCTCTTGAGAATAAGATTCTTTGTTTGAGTTGTATTCATATTCATGTGTCTTCTCATGTGCAACCGTTAAACAAATAAAATGATACTCTAGGGAATGACACATGGTCTTGAGAATAAGATTCTTTGTTTGAGTTGTATCCATAGTCATGTGTCTTCTCATGTGCAACCGTTAAACAAAGAAATGATACTCTAGGGAATGACACATGGTCTTGAGAATAAGATTCTTTGTTTGAGTTGCATCCATATTCATGTGTCTTCTCAAAGAGAGCTTAGTCGGCACTAAGTATTCTTTCAGAGGTTAACACGGTCTTTAATCTGTCTATTATAAAACATTTGAAATCCAAGCCATTGACAAGCTTCATTGCTATACACATGAATTAGTCTACTACGGGGAGCAGATTTGGTTTAAAATGTCGAATCCAATGACCTTTCCTACAACCCGCATATCTGCTTTCTGTCCAGCATTAAACCAATCCTTTCTGCTGCAACAGATGTTTGATATTTACTAATATTAATTATCTAATATCTTCAATTATTTACAGATATCGATCAATGAGTGAAAGCTTGCAGAGTTTTACAAATGAAAAAGGTAGAAGAACGTTGGCTTTGGCAGAGTGAAGAACAGAAGGTTCGAAGGCCTCAAAAACGCTTAAATTTCTCGTTATCCTTTAGCCAAATGACATATGAGCTCGATAGGGATAATCAGGGGGGGTTCGTGCTAGCCCATTCTCAATATCTAGGCACAAAATGCCTATAATAGTTTAGAAAAAGTTGTACTGTATCCCCTCCTGAAATTTTGAAGAGATGACTTTCACCTAGCCCTGACAAGCTACGCCCTAATTATAATTCTTTTCGCTAGAATTTCTAAGCAGCTTCTTTTCTTTCTTTCTTTTTTTCTTTCTTAGTTTTGTGAAATGAGCCCGAACTAAGAACGGGAGAGGTTGTGTGACAGTTATAAATACTTTTGTCACGCATGAATAGATGTATGAATGCATGAAGTCTGCAAATCAAATTATTATATTAAGCTTTCATTATAAAGCAGCTGTTCAAAAAATAGCGAAAATATCTAAACTTTTAATCCAGAAATGCCCAACTTAGAGACATTTGACCGTTTTGCAATTCACTTGGAAGATTTTCAGTATGGCATTTAAAACAGAAACTGTAGGGCAAATCTAACCACTCCCTATATGGGACATATGTTCGGCAACTGCACTGAGGAAATCAAAGTCAGATACTTAGCCTCGGCTTTGCAACTAATTATTTTCATATAGATTTGCTATCACGATGCAGCGATGACAAGAACAAGAACAACACAATAGATATAAAACAAACGTACAAAAGCAATCGTACAAAAGAAAGCTTCAACTTTGCACAAAGCATAGAACCCACTTCAAAAATATTTTTTTCAAAAACTTTTTCAAAATTTGTTTTTACAAGTCGTTGATGATAATAGCTTCCTTACCTTTCGTAAAAGATATATAAAGAGTGTGAACAAGGGGGGCAAAGGCTTGAACGAAGTAACAGCTTTCTAACTGGAACTGAACTGCTCAATGATTCTTGCAGAATGTGGTCGTCTGAATGATACTTAAGCTTAAATAAGAGTTCTTTACACATTCCAATGTGCACACCCTTTTGCTTAGCTTACATGAATTTAATTCAGGTCAAAATAATCGGTGACCTTGTTAGGATGCGAATAATAAATTGGACCTGATTTGGTCTTTTTGTATTTCCACAAGGCTCTCTTATTATGACGTCAAAATGCGTTTGATTTTTTTTGTCTTCGGTGAATTAAAACTACTCCTCTGAGGTTTCTTACCTTGAGGGATGTCTGAATAGAAATTGCTTGAGTTTATCGAGATTTTTTGACCTACTTCTGAAACATTTAAATTATAATAAACAGTTTAATGGTATTTCAAAGTTATTAAAAGAATGCAAAATATTTTATTACTTAAAACGAATTTTAAACTTAATAGCATCCTTACTCGACTTGTCTATTTATTCATCTTTTATTTCATTTTCATCAATCATTTATTCATTAATCTTATGCTTAAATCAATTCATTAATTAGATTAAGTTGTACGTTTGTAAACAACCAAAGAATCCTTTAATACATTTTTTTATTCATTCATTTCGTTTATATTCAGCCACTTAATTTAATCAGCTAAAATTCGGTCAGTATACCATTCATTCATTTGTTCATTTTTCTTTTACTTTTATTCTTATTTTTCTTTTATATTTGTCCTTATTTTATATTTTATTTGCTTTGATGGCAGACGCGCCTGCCATTTTCCCGCGCTTTTTGCCAAACCCAGTTTCCCCTCTACCTCCCCCTCAAATATTCCACAACCAGCCAATGCAAAAAACAAATCTTCCAGAAATCCTTCAAATTCCACCCATACCTTACCCTTATTAGGAATTTCATCGCACGAGAGATTCGATATTCCAAGGTTATTTAGGTGAAACCTCTTTAATACGTCGCTAAGAAAATATAAACTGACAGGCATTATTGACCATATACGGACTAACTTGATCATCACGTGACGTGGTGACGTCGGTTCGCTACTCGAACCTTAAGTATTTAAAGATATATAAACAAAACGAATCAAATTTCGGTCACGCTGTCTCTATAAGTTTATAACCTAGACATGTTTTTTGTCCTTATCAACATATATGGAGCTATTATCAGTAAATTTTCATCGATTGCACCGAATTTTCTGGAAGAAAACATTGTTTGCTTTTCAAAAAATTAAAAAAAAAACATTAATGCATTTATAAACTTTCTACGTCTTTTACAGAGTAGGTTTAATTCAATAATTCAAAACATCATTTTCGGCCAACGTTGTTACGATTTCAGGCAAAGAAGTTTGAAGTTTTTCAGTTTGATTAACGCTGTAGACGAGACGAAAATCAGATACCGAGCTTTTAACGTAATTTAAATTAATAGGAATACAAATAAATAGAATAAGTTTATGCTCTTTCTATTGCCTTATTTAGTCGTATACAATTTCCGAGTAGTATGACAGTGGGCTCCCTAACGATCACAGTACTTCCAAAGGGAATTCACCATTTTCACACTCCCATGAATACAGTGGGGACTAACCGGGAGGGGGGTGGGTGGAGGGAACGTATACATTATGACGAAGACTGAACACAAGAGGTTGCAAATTTACAAATACGTAATAATATCTCATTGACCTTCTTGTTCTATCATGGTCTGTAAAGAGTCGCTTGGCCGAGTCGACCGCCATATTGAATTGGAGTCGGCYGAGGAACCCCGGAAACGAGGTTGGGTGTAGACAGTTRTATAGGTGAGCGAGAGGTACAAAAAGATTGCCTAACAACCTGATCAGTGTCGGATTTTATTTTGATTCATAATCAGATATTAAGTGCTTACAATAAAAATTATAATGAAACCTGAGTTACACTTTTATCACTTAATGGTTAAAAGATATATTTAGTGGCTTTAAGGATTTTTTAAGCATGTCGTGACATTTTGACCAAAAATTTTTTTACACAACTCAAGTGCGCATGCCCCTTCGTCATGACGTCATGTGATTATTTCCCGCCAAAAAAAAATTCATAAAACTTATGACATTGGCTTCGTCGCCAATGAATCTTTCCACACAGTTTTCCTTAAAGTTGTTGGCGTTAATTCTGAGAAGGGAAGAGGGAAGGGAAGGGGAGAGGAGAGGGGAGGGGAGAGAAGAGGGGAGGAGAGGGGAGGAGAGGAGAGGAGAGGAGAGGAAAGGAGAGGTGAAAAGAGGAAAGAAAAGAAAAAAGAATAGAAGGAGAAAAGAAAGAAAGGGAAAGAAAGTAATGAGAAGGAAAGGAAAAACCTTGCCGTGGAGGGACTGTCCATGAGCTTTGCTTACAATACTACATTCCTTAATTATTAATTTAAGTTAAGCAACAACTGCTCCAGAATTGTCTTCAGTCGGAAAAAAGATTTCCGAGTCCTTCGGAGCAACTTTGATTGTGATAACGATCTTCTTGAACTCTCGATAGTAAGTGAGGAAAAAGAGCAAGAAAGAAATTGCCATAAGCCACTCGCCAAACGTGCTGGCCAGATGATTTTTATATCCCTAAAGACACAGAAATAATGGTCAAAATAAATCTATTTACCATGTAATTTCCCTAGAGTATCATTTCTTTGTTTAACGGTTGAACATGACAAGACACATGAATGTGGATACAACTCAAACAAAGAATCTTATTCTCAAGACCACGTGTCATTCCCTAGAGTATCATTTCTTTGTTTAACGGTTGCACATGACAAGACACATGAATGTGGATACAACTCAAACAAAGAATCTTATTCTCAAGACCACGTGTCATTCCCTAGAGAATCATTTCTTTGTTTAGCGGTTGTACATGAGAAGACACATGGTAAATATGGTAACTCAAACAGAGAATCTTATTCTCAAGACCACGTGTCATTCCCTAGAGTATCATTTCTTTGTTTAACGGTTGCACTTGAGAAGACACATGGTAAATATGGTAACTCAAACAGAGAATCTTATTCTCAAGACCATGTGTCATTCCCTAGAGTATCATTTCTTTGTTTAACGGTTGCACTTGAGAAGACACATGGTAAATATGGTAACTCAAACAGAGAATCTTATTCTCAAGACCATGTGTCATTCCCTAGAGTATCATTTCTTTGTTTAACGGTTGCACTTGAGAAGACACATGGTAAATATGGTAACTCAAACAGAGAATCTTATTCTCAAGACCATGTGTCATTCCCTAGAGTATCATTTCTTTGTTTAACGGTTGCACTTGAGAAGACACATGGTAAATATGGTAACTCAAACAGAGAATCTTATTCTCAAGATCATGTGCACAAATTTGCACAAATTAGTAAGTTCAGTAGACCTCAGTAGACCGTAGACCTACAAAACTTGCATAAATTTGTACAATTTTGTCAGTCAACTTTCTCATGTATACAATTTACAACTTACTACGAAATAATGTTAGTCGCTGAAAAATTGCCTTCTTGATAATGTCGAGGTGCTTCGGTTGTTCATTTTGACAAAACTGCTCGTTTTAACAAGGGGTCGGCGCACGTGACCTATGAGTGCAAGCCGTTCATTTTAGGATACTTACCGGATCAGATTTATTCCATTTCATGTGTGGTGTAGTACTAACAACAGGTGTTGGAGTGGGAACTTTTCTTTTCTTGTACTCAGAGCTTGCTACTGCCGCTGCAATGATAGCTGATGATTGTCAAGGATGACTAAGTATTCACTGTTCGCAAACCTGCCACGAGTAACTGACAGAACCCAATTGATGGTTTTCACGGCCGCCATGTTGGAGGAATTTAACAAAAGATTCTTCATTAGTCTCTTTTGTTCTATCCTCCAACATGGCCGCCGTGTCTTTTGTCATCAATTCAGAGGAAAGAGATGTGTAGGAATACCCCATACACAACACCTTTGGAAGTTTTATCCTGAGTTTAAAAATCAAATCACATAAATGTGTCTAATGTCTGTTTGCACGTGTGTATTTGTGCATAAAAATAAAGGCTTTGCCCCTTCACGAGATGGCATTCATGACAGGAGGCAGAATCTATTGACTCTGGTTTACATGAGAAAGAATTCAGTTTTCCAGGGGAGAAAGACTCCAGGTGGGGGAGAGGGGGGGAGGGGGGGTACTCTTGTCCGTTTAGGGTAGGGATGTGCTGCTGAGCCCTCTGAACCCTGACCCTGTTCCAGAGTAAAATCGCTGAAATTCGTACCCTGATCCAAACTAAAATCGCTGAAGACCATACCCTGTTCCGGTATTGCAAAAATAGATACCCTGTTCCAGAGAGGAGAGAGCGTGATTTCATATACCCTGTCCCAGAGCGAGAGCAATTTCATTTACCCTATTCCAGAGTAGAATCACTGAAAACCATACCCTAATATAGGGAGTACACCCCCCCCCCCCCC